CTTGAAGAAGCTTGACGTGTCTGCTGAGCACGAGCAGAGGGACACGACACTTCTCTGCAACGTCGACATGCCAGGATTGTCATTAAGGCTCGCCGATTCGCAGCATGCCAGCGCCATGGCACGCATTCGCATCGACGTTCACCACCTCACCCTGAGCGGGGGCGTGCAGACCTCAGCGAACATGGACACTCTGAAGTTCCAGGGCCTTTCAGGCAACTTCTCCATGAGAGCGGGGTACTGGAACCAGCAGCACCGACTCGTGGAGCCTTTCGTCGAGCCGTGGAGTTTAAAGTTTGAGGCCGACGGCAACTGCGCAAGGGTCCTGGCCGATCATCACATGGTGATCAACGTGACGCCGCCACTGCTCCAGGCCCTCTGCGTAGCAGCCTCGTCGCTCGAGGCTGCAGAGGTGCCCTCTACAGCAGGCGCGGTGCCCGCAGAAGAGGACGTGAGGCCGGTGGTTGCCTACGTGCTCAACCGCACTTTTCTGGACGTGAATGTGTCGGCGCACGGTCCACACGGCGCCGGCAAGACTGTACGCATCGAGCGCGCTTGTTTTGACCAGCGGGTTGCCGTCGAGATTGAGCGCGAGCGGGGCACGTCTATCCACCGTCTGGAGTCTGGCGGGGAACAGAAATTGTGGACGCTGACTTTGGAGGGAGCCGATCCCCTCAACCCGTGGCAGCTCGACGGGGAGATCACCTTCTCGGTCACGGGGAGGACAACTTTCCGGGACGTGTCACGCAAGCGACTAATCGTAGTGGACGTCAGTGTAGATGTCCGGAGTCGTGCCCCAATCGTGACTTTGTCAGGCATATGCAGGTTGCAGAACACAACAGGCAGGACCCTTGTCATGAGCGATCCAGAGAAGGCGTTTGCGATAAAGGTTAACCCTGGCGAGTCCCGGGAAGCAGGAGTGGGTGGTGGTTTCGAAGTCACGCTTTTCAATTTCGAGAGCTCCGAAGTCAGCATTCCAATAGTAACGGCGGTCATGCCAGCAGACGAGGAGGAGATACAAGAGGATACGAAGCAGTGGTGCGGGGAAGCGAGCGGGCTGCAGCGAGTAGACTGCAGCGTGGTTGGAGGGGGGTACAAGTTTCTCCTGCTTCAGCAGAGGAAGCTGGTAGGCGACAGTCCAGCGAATGACAGAACTTTGCTCTGCGTGCCGATGCTGCGCGTCCTCAACGGCCTGCCGTGCGAGATCAAGATCCTCCGCGGCGCCGCGCGCAGGGCACCCGAGGGTGAGCAGCGGCCTTGGCTCCGCCACTTCGCCGCCCGACGGGGGACGCCGGACGTGCCGGAGAGGAGCCAGAGCGCAGAGGTCTTGACGGTAGCCTCGGGTGAGACACGCGGGTGTGGCGACATTGATCCTTCGCAGCCAATATTCCTGCATGTCGATGCTCTGTCCTTCTCCTACACCGCCGTGATCCCGAAGGACGCCATCCACAGCCCCCACGCCGTGAGGCAGGCGAGCAGGGCCAGGATCAGGAGGGGAAAGCACACAGACACAAACCATCGTCGATTCCCACGAGGATGTATGAGCATATGGGAAGCGGGGGGGGGAAGACGAAAATCATGACAACTATGAGAAGATATGGGGAATCCTGTGTGTGTTTATGTGTGTGTGTGTCCTTGGGCCCCTTTTCACAGGAAGCAGTCCCGGGCTGCCCTGACCTCGGACGAGGCGGGCGCCCCCCGCCTCGAGATCGAGCTGGGCTGGGAGGGCTTCGGCGCCATGGTCACCGTCTACGCCAGGCACGTTGGCTGCAGCTCCTGGGAGGTTGATTTCTCAGAGAAGGAAAAGGTACCTATACCTCTACCCTTCCCTCGGTTTCCCCTTTTTGGGCCTCCTAGGAGGTCCTCGTCGCCACCGCTGGATTCGCCTCGAAATGCTGGTCAGCACGCGCCCCAGGAGAGGTCAGGGGAGTAGCGGTATTGGTACCTTCCGTTTTCCCCAAAGTCAGGATCGGCGCCTGGTCGGAGACGGGCATCATTCCTCTCAATCTGGCCCAGTCCCGCTTAATCTGGCTCAATCCTGGGCTTTGTCCGGCTCGAGGGCGTGATACCCTTGCTTTTCCGAAGACCTCCCAACAGTTGCCTCCTAAAGGCACTGGGTCCTCAACAAGACTGGGTGGGCGATGGAGGTGCACTCGGGCCCGGAGGTACCCAAGGACCGGGGGCGTCCAATAGGGGGACGAGGTTTAGCAGGGCGACTATATTGCCAGCGCCATGATATCTCCCCGATTTCAGCGCCCGCTCTTCTTCTGTCAACCCAGATATGCGGTGCCTCTATTTTTCACTGCGGCGCCCCCAGGAGTCCAAACCCTTCCCCCAGGGGCGTGTTTTTTTGGTTTCCGGTCGTTTTCGATTGCCCTTGGGCTTGGCGAGGGCACCCCGAGGACGAAGACGACCAAAACACTTCCCGTTGCGTGATTATTTGAAATGGCGCGAGGACGCTTCTAAACCCCGGTTGTTCGCGCACACGTCTCGGGACATGATGCGCCAACCACCCTTCCTCAGGCCTCCCAAATTCGATACGAGCAAACGGGGTCGGAGGATCCCGCCGCATCGCTGATGCTTCCAGCTCGATGCGGCTCGATGTGGAGCTCGATGATCTCCACGCCGATGTTGCCGATGCAACGCCGACGTCGCGGATGCGTCACCGCAGCGTAGGCGATGCATCGTCGATGCGGCGCGATCCTCCGACCTCATTTGCTCCGATACCATTTGGGGCGCCTTCATCTTCTCCTTTGAAGACGTTGCCTGGCCCCCCCCCCTCGTCCGCGCACATGCGGCCTGCCATGATGCGCCCCCCCCCTGGCTTGCAGGTTCCATCTCGATCCGATCGATCCGCTTCGATATCGATGCTGGACGGCCCGATCCGATTCGATGCCGATGTGTCCAGCGATCCGGTGCTGCCCGATGCCTGCCTGGCGCTGCTGTGCATGCATCCGGGCGCGGCCGAGCCGGTTCGATTCCAGCTCCGTGGCGATGCGGCCCGATCCGACGCACATTCCAATGCGACGCGATCAACACATTCGATGCTGACTGATCATGCCATGATGTGCTAGCCACCCCACCTCTTTGCCACCCCTTCCCAGACCCCCGACGTCATGATTTTTGTTGTCAGAACGTCGACCCCCAAAGTCTCGACCCAGTCCCTTGGGACCGGTTTTTCACCCCGAGTCGGTTTTGACGGTCCCGAGGCTGGTCAGGGCCCCCAGGGGCCAAAATTGAATTTGTAAGGTACAATTTCCGGATATCAGGGCGCCACAAGGGCGTGGAAAGGCTTGTCGAAGAACCCTGGAAGGACCTGGAGAGAGCCTCCGAAGGACCTTCTGGAGAGCTTCTGGGCACACGTAGCGACGTAGTGGAAAACGCTTAGTGGAAACAGCAACCTCAAGCAAGCCGCTCCAGGGATTTTCACGGACACCGGAACGACCTCCGGGGCTATCCGGCAGCTCCGGCTTCTTAATTTGCAACCCTTTTAGCTCTCTGCGAGCTATCCATGAAAAAGAACCAGCCGTCATGGTTGCCTCATGACCTGAAGGGGGGTGCAGGTGCGTCGCCATGATGGGCGACGGCGGATCCCGAGGCACACGGCCCCGAGGCCTTTCCCCGTTCTCGGGCTCCCGCGGGGCCCTCCACGGGTCCCATGGGGCCGCCAGACAGCGATTAAGGAATGAAAAGTCGTCCTGGGGGGAGGCCCCCCAGGGTCCAGGGCCCCTTTCCCACAGGACCCGTTTCCCCCCATGCTCTTGGCCCCGCTCGGACGTATGCACTTTCCTCGGCGAGAACCATAAAAGCTCGGCCAGGACAATCGAGGAGCCTCCTGGCTCGTCTGGCGAGGAAAGACGCACGCGCGAAACCGACAAAGGCACGGGGAAGGGACGTCCGAGCGATGGCAAGCGTGCTGAGCGCGCGGCCCGCCCCGGCCAGGTCGGCCGCCTGCCGGAGCAGATCAACCTCGACCTCGGCCAGGAAATGATGGGCCGGTGGGGGAAGGATGAGGGGGGGGAGGAGGAATGAGAGGAGGAGGAGGAGGAGGAGGAGGAGGAGGAGGAGGACCTCCCCCCCGCTCCTACTTAAAGTGGTGGTGGCGGTGGAAAACGAGCCCCCCAGGAGAGCATGGCGCCCGCTCCCCTGGCGGGCGCGCCCTGGTCCGCCGCCCTCGGCGCCGCGCCGCCGGCGGTGGCTTGCACTGGGCCCGACGCGCCGCGGGTCGGGCGAAAGTCGGCGGCGCGTCGGACAAGAGTCGCAACCGATGCCAGAGTCGGTCGCGACGAGTCGCGCCCGATGTCGAAGCACATCGGTCGCGACCGATGTCCAAGTTTGAAGCAAGATCGGTAGCGACCGATCTCGTCGGTCACGACTGGGAAGTTCCAGTATCCAGTGATCAGGATAGGTGGAGGGGGGAAGGCTTCTTAGAAGCACCCCTGCTTCTTAGAAGGCGCGGGCCTTGTCTCCTTGTCTGCAGATGCAAGGCACGCGCCTTCTGAGAAGCAGCCTCCTTCTACTTAAGAAGCCTTCCCCCCACACCCTACCCCCCTGTGCGCGCCGCCAACGTCAAGCAGATGCGAAGCGTCCTCGTCGTCACCCAAACATACTCATACTGCGTGTGCGTCGCTCCCAAAAGAGCGACGCGCGCGCCGAGACATCTTATAGCATCTGCTCCGCGGCGGGCGCTGTTGGGCTGCATCGCTCGAGGAACGGTACGCTATAAGATGGTTGTACTAGATGTGCGTGTCGGACGCACGCCTCCGAGGAGGACACAGAGTACCAGTACCCTTCCCTCGCCATCGCCCCTCACCAGCAGCCGCGGGGTCCCCAGCAGCCGCCCACACTCGCGCAAGCCGCGCAATCTTCCTGCCCGCAGGGCCCCAGCCATCTGCCTCCAGGCTCCCAGCTTTTCGCAAGTTTTTCGTCCGAGCGGCCGTCGGTGCGAGCCCAATAGGGCACCCCAAGCGCTGAATGCGAGGCGATGGCAGTAGCTTGCGCGCCCGGCGGTGTCCTCAAGGGGCCCACACCCTTCAGGCCGCGCACCAAAGGTCACTCTTGCCAAGGGCCGCTCTTGCGCGTAGCCGAGAGATGAGAGGGGAATCAGCCCAAAATGGGTTGGGACGAGATCGGTTGCGCGCATCTGGTTTCGGCCCCGCTGCTAGGCGCCTTTCCCCTGGAGCGAGTTGTCTGCATTCTGGCAAGCTTACTAGCATGGCATTTCTGCCCCCCCCCCCCCCGCGCGGCCTTTTCGAACAGCGCTGGACTGAAAAGGCATGCCCTCTTCCTGCAATTTCATTCGCCGGACTCTGAGGGCGAAGGGTCTCCTACACGGCTCCAGGAGGCAGCCGGCGTCAGGAGGCGCCAGGAGAACCGGCTGCGTGAGCTGACTTTGCACCCCGGCCATCGCGATTGTTGACAAGCCCCCAAGCGAGTCATTTTTGGTACGCCCCCGGCGCCCGGCGAGGGCCCCCCGAGGCCGAAAATTTGGAAAGGTCCGTCGTGACTTCTGACGTTTTCGCGGAAGCTGCTTCGCCTCCTCCCCACACCCTTTTCGGTTTTCGGTTGCAAGTCATGGGAGACTTGTGTACTTTCGTAGTTCCGTCTGTGGGTGCACTAGCGTCGACTAGCGTCTGGTGGTTGATGAGACCGCGCTGATTTAGCGCCGACTAGCGGCGATCTAGTGTCGATTAGCGTCCATCAACGTCGACCGGCGTCGATTCGCAAGAACCAACGCAATGCGCAAGAGGGAGGCCCCCAGGAGTTGTCACCGAAGCCTCTCTTTGATGCCCCCCTTTCATCGTCCGACCCGACCGCTGCAGGCTGGCCCCGACGTCGCCTTCCTGCGGGCGCCCGACCACAAATTCCGGCTTCGGCTGCGCGGCCGCCCGCGCGTGTCGAGGTCTACGGGTCCAGCCCGGAAGTGGCCCTCTGCAGCGGAGGCCCCGAAGACTCGGGGAATGCTCGGCCAGGCGAAGCTGAGGCCTGGCGAAGCTCGGCCAGGCTGAACTCGGCCAGGCTGGACTCGGCCCGAGCCGGGTTCAGCTTGGTCGAGAACAGCCTGGCCGAGGTCAGCTGGCCGAGCTTCGCCTGGCCACGCTTCGCCTGGCCGACTTCAGTTGCTGCCCGAAGCGCTGCGGTGAGAGACAGCGCGGTGACCTCGCCAACACCAACCAAAAACCTGACCGCACGATCCGTCACCGCAGAGCTTTGGGGCCGCAGAGGCCCCGGTCGCCAGCGACATCCTCGCCCACTGACTAACCACGCGGTGTGGTCACCGCGCCGTTTGGAGTCCCCCGAGGTCCTGGCCCAGGGTGTGTCCCCAGCTCTTCCGTCACTTGGGCCTCGACGAGGCCCAGGGGACCCAAGGGGCTCTAATGCACCCGTCACGACGTGATCGACACAGAAGGAATGGGTTCGAGTGTGCGGACGTTTGCGCGTAAGCTGCCCACGTAAGGTCGCGCGCAAGCGCCCTCCTCTCCCATGTAGCGTGCCGCGCTGGCGCCACGCATAAGCCACCGCGTTAGGTCGCTAAGTAATCTCGCGCAAGTCCCCATTCCCTACGACGACGACGACGCCGACGACGACGCCGACGACGACGACGACGACATCGTCGTCGTCGTCGGCGTCCTCCTTCTCCTCCTCTTCGTCGCTCACATTTGGAGAACCTTTTTTGGCAACGCCCGAGAGGTGGGCCTGGGACTCGCACGCCGAGGGCGCGGAGCTGCGGCACTGGATCCCTGGCGCCACAGCCCCGGCGCTGGCCCCGCCGGCGAGCAACGGCGATCGGGCGGGGCAGATTCGAAACGTTCCTGAGGCGGCCTCGGCTTCGAGGGTCGAAGGAGTTTGGCATCGCTTCCTCGGCGGAAGGCGGCGGGAGGCGGCAGAAGAACGGCGGAAGGTCGGCGGAAGTAAGACAGGGGCGCCGCTCCGCTGGCGGAACGCTGGCGGAAGGTCGGCGGAAGGTGATGGAAGTAAAAGATGCGCCTCCCCCCAAGAGGCCAGGTGTTGTGGAATCGGCCACTAGGATCACCACTAGGGTTGCGAAGGGAACAGGGGGGCCCTAAGTAGATGCCAAGGTGGCTTGTATCTGGCCTAAGCTAGCTTCTATCGCAAAGCCAGACGCTCCATAACCATGAACTTTCGGAGGTTCTCGCGGACCTCCAGAAGTGTTCTTGTTCTTGTTCTTCTGCTACGAGTGCTCGCAAGTGCCAGAAGCGGCTTACGGGTAGGGGGGGGTCCGGACTGAGTGAGCGGAGCCCACTGAGCAGCGCTACCCTTTAAGCCATTGAGCACACGAGCAACGTGTAATGTTAGGTTAGGGCAGACATAACCCACCTTGGCATCCACTCTTTCCGTAGCAACACCAGCGGTCATCCCAATAGGACATGGGCAACTAATTGATTCCAGAGCGTTCCGGAACGCTCCTAGAGCTTACCCGAACGCTCTGAGAAGGCCGCAGCGCCCGATACATCTTCAAGAGTCCGCCAGATCTCAGAGATGCCCGCTTTGTCCTGGTCCGATCTTGTCCTTGTCCTGGCTTCGTCTCAGGCGACGGCGGCGGCCCCCCAGACGTCATGATTTCTGTCAGAATGTCGACCCCCAAAGGTCTCGACCCATTCCCCCGTACAAGTTTTTCGTCCTGAGTAGTTGTTTGACGGTCCCGAGGCCCGTTAATGGTGACCAGAGGCTGAAGATAGCAACAAAATGATCCGTCATGATTTGTTGAGCACAGAGTGGCTCACTGATCATTGGATGCTGGAGCTTCACAGTCGCGACCGGCGAGGTCGGTCGCTGACAATTTTGCTGCAAACGACGGTATCGGTCGCGATCGGTCGCGATCGACCTGGAGTGCTGATCGGTCGCTTCCGACCGCGACCGAAAAATCCAGAAGCCAATCATTTGCGATGGTAGTGGCCCCCACTGGGGGAACGAAGAATGACAAACATAAAAACTCTGAGGTCCACGCGAATTTCTCGGATCGGCGCTGGACCCCCCTCCCTGGCGCGCTCCGCGCGCCAGGGGCGGCGCCGGAGGCGCCGCCACGGGGGTCCAGCGCGGATCCGATAAATCCGCGGGGACCTCCGAAAGTTATGTTTATGTCATCCTTCGTTCCCTCCTACCCACTGCTCCAAAAGGCGAGGGCTGGCCCCCGGCCTGGGAGTCAGGCTGGTCGCAGACGCTGGAGAGCTCATCGGTCGCTTCCGATCGCCACCGAAAAATCCGGAAGCCAATCATCTGGGATGGTGGTGACCTCCACTGCCCTTAAGTCGGGCATGTCCCCCTGCAGGAGGAATATTCAATTATAGTCCAAAAAATGATGGGGACGATGTTTTGATCATATGTATATATATATATATATATATATATATATGGACAGCCCCCCCAGCACCCATTCTTCGTCTTGTTTCTTTACACGTTGTCTTTCGCATCCCTTCCTCCGCTCCCCTTTTTGTTCTCTGTCCCGTTGTCCTCCGTCCTCCTTGCCGTCCTCTCTCTCTCTCTCGCTTGCCACTTCTCCCCATGGGGGCTGCGCCTTTTTCGTCGCCTCCGCGCAGGGGAGACCAACGCTTGGAGGGGCGCCATCCTCCACACAGGAAGACCAAGGCTTGCAGGGACCTTCCCCCAGACACGCCAGTGCCCCCACACCCTATGATTGAATATGGATTTCTCTCACAGAGGAGGAGGAGGGGGAGGAGGAACAGGGGAGAGACAGCGAAAGAGAGAGAGAGGGGGAGACTCGAGGGAGCAGCGATCCCTGTGACACCACAATGTTTGCGACGCCTGGGGGCCCCAAACCCTGTTATTTCATATGGATTTTTGGGATTTCAGGGATGAGAATCCCAGAAACCATATGATTTCATTTGGATCTTTGAGATTGTTTTGATTTTCTGCCCTCCAGCAAAGTCAGCTCAGGAGCCCCTCAGGGGTCAGAACCCCAAACATCTCAATGAATTCACAGGTTTCGCGATGTCAGGGTGCCCCAGACCCTATGATTTCATTTGGATGTTTGGGATTTCTGGGACGAGAATCCCAGAAACCCAATGGTTTCATTTGGACTTTTGGATTTTTGTGATTTTGCTGCCTTCCAGTAAAAATCAGCAGAAGTGGGCCCAGACCCTCCCAAATCCAAAACAAATCAAAAATCCGAATGGAATCATAGGGTTTCTGGGGTTCTCATTTCAGAAATCCCAAACATCCAAATGACGTCATAGGGTTTGGGGCACCCTGACATAGCGAAACCTGTGAATTCATGAAGATGTTTGGGATTCTGACCCCTGAAGGGGCTCCTGAGCTGACTTTGCCGGAGGGCAGAACATCAAAAACAAAAATCAGAAATTCAAATGAAATCATATGGTTTCTGGGATTCTCATCCCAGAAATCAAGAAAAGCATCCCAATGAAATCATAGGGTCTGGGGCACCCTGACATCGCGAAACCTGTGAATTCATTGAGTTTTTGTTGGGGTTCTGACCCCTGGGGGGCTCCTGAGCTGACTTTGCTGGAGGGCAGCAAGTCACAAAAACCAGCAATCCAAATGAAATCATATGGTTTCTGGGATTCTCATCCCTGAAATCCCAAACATCCACATGAAATAACAGGGTTTGGGGCCCCCAGGCGTCGCAAACATTGTGGTGTCACAGGGATCGCTGCTCCCTCGAGTCTCCCCCCCTCTCTCTCTCTCTCTTTCGCTGTCTCCCCTCCATATTTGTCTCCCCCCTGATCCTCCTCCCCCTCCTCCTCCTGTGTGAGAGAAATCCATATTCAATCATAGGGTGTGGGGGCACTGGCGTGTCTGGGGGAAGGTCCCTGCAAGCCTTGGTCTTCCTGTGTGGAGGATGGCGCCTCTCCAAGCGTTGGTCTCCCCTGTGCGGAGGCGACGAAAAAGGCGCAGCCCCCATGGGGAGAAGTGGCAAGCGAGAGAGAGAGGACGGCAAGGAGGACGGAGGACAACGGTACAGAGAGCAAAAAGGGGAGCGGAGGAAGGGATGCGAAAGACAACG